CCAGTAGTGCACCTTGTTCGTCTGGCCATCTTGATGATCACATGAGCTTGCCATCCGCATTATCACCCTCCTTCTCCTCCGCCTCCCCATCATAATCGTCATCTGAATCATCATCATCATCATCAGCAGCAGCCGCAGCCTCAGCATACGCATCAGCATCGTCGTCATCACCATCAGCATCACCATCAGCAGTAGCATCAGCATCATCAGCATCATCGGCATCACCACCCATATGACCATACCAATCCTGACCAGCAACGTTATCACTGCTACCATGATAAGAAAATATCATGATCGACACCACCAGCAGCAGCATCAGCATCAGCATCAGCAACATCAGCATCGGTAGTCTTAGCATCATCGTACTCAGCATCGTCGCCATCAACATCGTCATCATCACCACCATCGTCGTCATCATCCACATCATCATCAGCATCAACAACATCATCATCATCGTCAGCATCTTCAACATCGTCGTCATACGCAGCATCAGCACCACAACCATAATCATCACCACCATCGGCATCGTCATCCTCATCACCATCACCAGCAGCATCAGCATCATCATTATCATCGTCAACATCATCATCGTCAGCATCAGCATCCACATCAGCATCCTCATCACCATCAACATCATCCGAATCATACGCGCCAACACCATAATCATAATCAACCACATCACCACCATCCTCATCCTCCTGGCCATCACCCTCATCCTCATGTTCATCCTCGTCATCATCATCATCAGTAGTAGTAGTAGTAGTAGTAGTAGTAATAGTAGTAGCAGTAGTAGTAGTAGTAGTAGTAGTAGTAGTAGTAGTAGTAATAGTAGTAGTAGTAGTAGTAGTAGTAGTAGTAGTAGTAGTAGTAGTAGTAACAGTAGTAGTAGTAGTAATAGTAGTAGTAGTAGTAGTAGTAATAGTAGTAGTAGTAGTAGTAGTAGTAGTATAGTAGTAGTAGTAGTAGCAGTAGTAGTAGTCGTAGTAGTAGTAGTAGTAGTAGTAGTAGTAGTAGTAGCAGTAGTAGTAGTAGTAGTAGTAGTAGTAGTAGTAGTAGTAGTAGTAGTAGTAGTAGTAGTAGTAGTAGTAGTAGTAGTAGTAGTAGTAGTAGTAGTAGTAGTAGTAGTAGTAGTAGTAGTAGTAGTAGTAGTAGTAGTAGTAGTAGTAGTAGTAGTAGTAGGTAGTAGTAGTAGTAGTAGTAGTAGTAGTAGTAGTAGTAGTAGTAGTAGTAGTAGTAGTAGTAGTAGTAGTAGTAGTAGTAGTAGTAGTAGTAGTAGTAGTAGTAGTAGTAGTAGTAGTAGTAGTAGTAGTAGTAGTAGTAGTAGCTGCTGCGACAGCAGCAACATCATCAGCATCATCGGCCTCAAACCCACCACCGCCACCACCACCAGCACCACCAGCACCACCACCACCACCACCATCACCCCCACTCACCCCAACCCGAACCCCCACCCACCCCGTCAAAAATGATCCTGGCGCAGTGCCCAACCATATGCAACTGCTAGTGCCGCGAGGCAAGCGAGAACAATGATGAGGACAGGCAAAAGAACGTACGTGAGAGCAAATCCCGGCGAAAAAGGCGCCGTGCAGACGCTGTCGCAGGGGGCCGTCAGTAGAGCTCCTTTTGCGGCCGCGCTCCTCGTGAAGGGTGCGCCGACATGGGCGGGGGGGACACATTCGGGCCCTGCCACTGGGGCCTTTGGTGGAGATGGGGCCACGATCCTCGTGAGGGGTGCGTCGACATGGGCTGGGGGCGCATGCGAGCCCTGTCGCGGAGATCTTCGGTGGAGCTCCCCATGGGGCATGGGCGCGCCGAAATGGGCGGGGGGACGTATGCGGACCCTGCCACTGGGGCCTTCGGTGGAGCTCCCTACGAGGCCACGGTCTTCGTGAGGGGCATGCCGAAATGAGCGGGCGGATGCGTGCGGACCCTGCCTCCTGCGGAGCCCCCTATGGAACCGAACTCCTTGTGAGGGGGGCGCACGCGGACCCTGCCACTGCGGCCTTCGGTCGAGCCCCCTCTACGGGGTCACGATCCGCGGGAAGGGTGCATCGGAAGCGGCGAGCGGGGGGGGGGGCGCATGCGAACCCTGCCCTGCCGCTTGGGCCTTCGGCGGAACTCCCTCTACGGGGTCACGATCGGTGTGAGCGGTGTGCGGGCATGCGGTTCCTGCCAGCGGGGCCCTCGGCGGAGCTCACTATGGGGACACGATCCTCGTGATGGGTATGCCGACATTGGCGGGGGGGGCCCATGCGGACGGGAGCGCATAGCCTTGGACCTTCGCTGGAGCTCCCCATGGCGGCCGCGATTCTCGTGATGGGTCTGCCGAAACGAGCGGGGTGACCGCGTGCGGAGCCTGTCGCCAAGGCCTGCGGTGGAGCTCCCCGTGAGGCCATGGTATTCGGGAAGGGTGTCCCGAACTGGACGGGGGGGGGGGCGAATGCAGACCCTGACACCGAGGCCTTCGATGGAGCTGCCTGTGCGGCCACGGTCCTTGTGAGAGGTGTGTGCGTCGGCGGGGAGGGGCGCAGGCGGGAAGAGGGGGGGGCGTGCGCACGCTGCCGCTAGGGTCTTCGGCGGAGCTCCCAACGGGGCAACGTTACCTGCGGGGCCACGATCCTCCTGCTGATGGTGATGATGCGGCTGACGACATTGTGAATGATCATGATGATGTCGAGGCTAATCATGCGGATGGTGATGACGGTGGTGATGGTGCTGATGATGATGACGCTGATGCTGATGAGGAGGATGGCAACATCAATGAGTATGATTATGTGAGTGGTGATAGTGGTGATCATGATGACAATGATGATAAGACTGATGATGCTGGTGATGCTGATGGTGGTGATGATGTGAATGATGATGCTAATGATGGTGTAGATGATGACAGCAATGATGATGATGGTGATGGTTATGGTTACGGTGATGGTGATGGTGATGATGATGGTGCTGGTGATGGTGATCTTGATGGCGATGGTGATGATGGTGATAGCGGTGATGGTAGTGATAGTGGTGATGGCGATGGCGATGGTGATGGTGATGGCGATGGTGATGGTGATGGTGCTGGTGCTGGCGGCGGTGGTGATGATGGTGATGGTAACGTTGATTGCGATTATGATGGTGACGCCGATGGCGATGGAAATTAAGATGATGATGGTAACGATGCTGCCGCTGATGAAGCTGATGGCGATGCTGATGATGGTGGTGATGACTCTGCAGCTGATAATGATGATGATCATGATGATGGTGATGCTGATGTTGATAATGATGGCGATGCTGCTGCTGATGATGATGATGCTGACGATGATGATGCTGATGATGATGCTGATGATGGTGAGAATGATGATGATGATGATGATGATGATGATGATGATGATGATGATGATGGTAATGCTTGTTTCCAGCTTCTCTCGCCTGTTCCACGTTCGGTCCAGCACGGCTGCCGCAAAACCGCCAGGAAAGGGCACCGACGGGAGCAGACGCCCCTCCGAGGCCCAGGGAGAAGGTCTCGGAGAGCGCACGCCCCACGCCTGCGGGGGCGGCCGGCAGAGGACGACACGGGCACGAAGAAGAGGACGGCGGCGGCCGAGGGGGAAGAAACGACAACAGCAGAGCGCAGAAACGCTCCCCCCGCCTCCCTACTCCTTCTTCCCCTGCTCCTCGTCCACCTCCTCCTCCTGCTCGTGCTCCTCCTCCTCCTTCTCCTCCTCCTCCTCCTCCTCCTCCTCCTCCTCCTCCCCCCCCTCTTCCTCTCCCTCCCTCTCCCCCCCCCACGACAACAATAAAGCACAGAAACGACAGCGCGAGGCGACGGGAAAGGGAGAGGGGACGCAACAGAACGACGAGACAAGACGAAAAGAGGCAAAAGGCCAGGAAGCGCGACGACGGCAACCTGATGTTGCCAGTCGCCTGGCACGCTCAGACCACCGAGGACATGTAGGCAAGGGGGAGAAAACGTCCATGCTACCAGTCGACACGAATTTACTTGGGAGCTCCGCGCGTTCCGAAGACACCTCAGGCTGAAGATTCGCACCTCCGAGGTTCGCAGAATCTCGCAAGCGACCATCAAGCATGGAGGAGAACTCTGAAATGGATCTCTGCACCAGTCGCATAAACTGGGCCAGGAAAATGAATGCGGCACTCCGCGGCAGCACACCATGCAGCCGATCGACCGAGCACGTGTTTGGGAACGAGGCGGGATTCAAGAGACAAGAGACGGAGCTGAGCGGCTGGCCCATCTACCCCACATTTGAGCACGGACCGACCGTCCCAGCATTCCTATAGGCCTACCACGACATGTTCTTAGAACCTACCACGACGTGTTCTTAGAACCCAAAAATGCTTTAAGGACAATCACGCAAGGTTCTTAGAACATAAATCAGATGTGTTCAAACAAGGCAGTCTCAGACGGAACTGTTCTAAGAACATGTCGTGCAGACCACAGAAGGTTCTTAGAAAATTCTTTGGTGGGCCTATAGTCGAGCCAGGACGCTTCGCCACTGCTTGACACATACTTCTCCACTCCGAACATGAGCAGGCGACGCCCCACAACTCTCGCGCTGGCCGCAGACCCCGCCCACAGCTGGGAAGGCAGGAAAGGACGGAAAAGAGACGCCTCCATGTAAAACAATCGTCTCCGGCAGAGCCGCCGTGACACCGCACTGCACCGGGGGCCGCAGGAAGCGGGGGAGGCCTGCACCTCAGGAAGCCTGGCCGAGCGTTCTGTGCTTGCTGGACACGCTGATGATGATGACGATGATGATGATGATGATGATGATGATGATGATGATGATGATGATGATGGTGATGGTGATGGTGATGATGATGCTGGTGCTGATCATGATGATGACGATAATACTGCCGCTGATGATGTTGATGATGATGGTTACGATGATGATGGTGATGATGATGATGGTGGTGATGGTGATGGTGATGGTGGTGGTGGTGATGGTGATGGTGATGGTGGGTATAATGATAGTGAGTGTGATGATGGGTGTGATGGTGAGACTCGCGATGATGATGGCGATTGTGATGGTATGATGGTGGTAATGACGATGACGATGACAATGACGATGATGATGATGATGATGATGACGATGATGATACGGATGATGATGAATTCTTATGATGATGGTAATGATGATGGTGATGATGAGAAGGGGGAGGCTAATGGTGATGGTGATGATGGTGATGACGACGACAATGATGATGACGATGACGATGACGATGCTGATGATCACGAGGGCGACAACTACGGCGCTGATGGTGACGGTGATGGTGATGGTAATTGCGGTGGTGATGATGATGAGTATGATGATTGAGATGAGTATGATGATGGTGATGGTGATGGCGATGATGATGCTGATGATGCTGATGGTTATGATGGTGATGCTACTGATGCTACGTATGATGATGGTGGTGATGATTCTGATGGCGATGATGGTGGTGATGGTGATAGTGATGCTGCTGTTGATGATGATGATGATGGTATGGAGAGGGGCAGAGGCAGGAATTCGAGAAGCGAGGAGCGGGAGGAGGAAGGAGAAAGGAAGAAGTGGCGCGGGGCGCTGTCTCTCCAAAACGAGGACCCAACACCACAGGATGGTCGGGAGAACTATCTCTCTTCCTTATTCCCCTCCTTCACCCCTTCCTTATCCCCCCCTTCTCCTCTCTTTCCATCCTCCTCATTCTCCTCCTCCTACTTCTCCCCTCCTCCTCGTTCCTCCTCCCTCTTCCCCCGCTTTTGGCTATCGGCCTTCGCCGAGAAGGCAGCTGGCAGGCGAAACGACGGAAAACCAAGAGACCGAAGGATGGGGTCGGCAGGAGGCGCAGAGACGAGATTGCGCATGCTGCTCGGCAAGAGAATCGCAGGCCCTCGCCTGAATCGAACGGGGTTTACGTTCCCTCTGGGGGGGGTGCTTCAGCGGTGGTGCGATGGGAATTCTCCAACCGAGGGCTACCTTCCCTAGCTCGCGCACGCTCTCGTTTAGCTGGGGCTCACCCAGAGCACGAGCTCGCGCACCTGCCACGAGAACTCCGATCACAATTGGCCCCTGGCACGGGTCATGCTAATCCGACGTGCATCCCTCTCTCCCTGTTTTTCTTGCTCCCCCGCCTTCCTCCTCGCTCCTCCCCGCTCCTCCTCCATCCCCGCTTGGCACGATCTAGGATCCCCAACAATTTCGGAACATTGGAAGGGGCCGAATCCTATCAAATTCTACCTTGTACAACTTTTTGGGGATTGTATGTTTCTTGCCCTGGCAAGGCATCTCCCCTTTTTCGAAAATTGGGGGAGTGGAATCCTTGGTTGTTTGAACTGTTTGTGCGGCTGTGTTTCTCTTTCAATGGACCACCTCCTGCAATGAACAATCCGCCGACCCCCGCGTACCGAGGGTGAAAAGGTGTGTGAAACATTTGGCTGTCCCCTCCGTCTTTTCTCCTTCCTTGGGCCATTGGGGTCCAAACTGCCGTTTGACGGGGAGCTCCCCCCAGGAACTCGACAGCGTCTCTCCCGGTGCCTCTTGAGTCCCCGGAAAGCCCCATAACAGCCCACAGGGGCCAAAACAGAGCGCCAAACCAGTCCAAGAGAGCGTCCATACGGTCAAAGTCCTACCACGGTATAAGATGGATTCGAGACGGCCCAAGAGACCCCAAGACGGCCCAAGAGTGATCCCAGAGGGCCGCCCAGATGGCCCCACGACGCAAAAGTCGACCCATTCCCTTCGGAAAACTAAAAATGTTGCACGTACTCGCCGTCTTCGCTTTGACAGCGTCCAAGACGGCCCAAGGGGCCCCAAAGATCGTCCCGCGGCCCGTGTGGACCCCAAGAGAGCCCCAAGACACCCCAAGGAAGGCCCCAAGACGGCCCCATGGACCCCCGAGACGAAAAGAGCCCCAGGAGGGCCCTGAGAGGGGCCTCAGAGGGAAAATGCTAACTGACATTTCGAGCAGTTCCCCCCCATATGGCCCGAAGAGCTTCCCAGAAGCCTCTGAGGCGCCCACGTGACAAGAGGCCAAGAAGCCTCCAAGAAGCCCCAGAAGGACCCCAGTAGAACCCCAATACATCTTACAGACCCATCACGTTCCATGAAGAGAAGGCCTCCAAAAAGGCCCTAAGAAGCATAAAGGACTACAATAAGCCACCAAAAAGACTCAAGAAAACCTAACACATTCCACAAAGAGCTCTCTGAGATGCCCCTCCGAAGCACCCTCAGAGCCCCTCCTATGTATCCAAGAGGCTCCTGGCCCTCTACGTAGCTCGCCGTTGTAGTCTGCACAGCGTCGAGAAAGGACGCAAGAGGCCCTTCATGTTGCTCCAAGACGGCCCAGTATCGTCCAGGACGGCCCCTAAAAGGCGACCATGCCGCTGAGGAAGAGCCCAATGAAGACGGCTATAGAGAGCGCAAACAGGGCCTCAAGAGAAGCCTAAGAACGGAAACTCGAACTGACACTCCGAGCCGTCCCCCCGAAGACAGAGAATCCAAGAACCCGTCAAAGGGAGCCCAAGATGCCCGGAAACGGTCCCCAAGAGAATCCCAAGCGCCTCACCCGCTCTTCTGGTGCTCGGCGGAATGGCGGAAGCAACTCATAAAGTACTGTAGGAATACATGAAGAGAGAACTCAGAGGAAGAGTTGACGACAACAGCGGTGATGCGCGTTGGGTTTACACTGGTCCCCGCTCCCTCTGCTCCTCCTCCTCCTCTTCCTCCTCCTCATCCTTCTGCTCCTCCTCCTCCTCCTCCTCCTCCTCCTCCTCATTCTCCTCCTCCTCCTGAGGAGGCAGAGGGGGACGAGGAGGATGAGGACAAGGAAGAGGAGGCAGCCCTCATTCTCGTCATCCTCCTGCTTCCACGTTCTTCGTCGTCGTCGCCCTCTACCACTCCTCACCTACAGGCAGAACTGATTGCAGAGGCACCCTAGAGGACGCAAGTTTGTCTCCGAGGATAACCCGAGCTTCTGGCACGAAGAGGGCAAGGACCGCGAAAGCACGAGACCGAGGTGTCCTGGATGCTTCGGGGTCGAGCTACCAAGAAGGCTGGAGGCCTCACAAATAGGGCCACCAGAAATAGACAGGGTCGGAGAATCACACCACATCGCCGATGCATCCGCGACGTCGGCCATGCATCGGCGACGTGGCGGCGGAGAACATAGGGCCCAAAAGTCGAGACGAGCCGCGGCTGCACTAGCGGTGCGGCGCGCTTCTCCGACGCCACCTGGACTGGCCTCGTTCCCCGTCCCGTGCGTCTCCCCCCCCCGCCTCCCCCCACGCATGCTGCCTCCTCCACCCGTGCGGCCGTACACTGCATCCCCCTCCCTCTGTCTCTTTCTCTCTCTCTCTCTCTCTTTTTCTCTCCCTCTCTCTCTCTCGCTCTCTCTCTCTCTCTCTCTCTCCCTCTCTCCCTCTCTCTCTCTCTGCCCAACCCGGCGGTAGAACGTGTTATCCGATTGTCGACCGTGTCCCCCCCCCCCATGCCCAGCTCGACTGCAGACCGTCGCCTCCCCCTCCCCCCCCCCCCCCGCGGCGGTGCCCCGAGCTTTATGCCTACCCCTGAGATCGATAAGCCCGAAGCGGTGACAATCGTAGGGGTGTGCCTTCAGAAACTGAGGGAGCCCTCAATTGAGCAGGGACCCGCCGTCCTGGCATTCCTATAGGCCTACACGAAATGTAGACCCCTAAAAATGTTCGAACAACCAAAGGCAATGTTCCTAGAATATAGACCCAGTGTGTTAAATCAAGACAGTCCCAGCCAGAAATGTTATATGAACATGTCTGCGCAGACCACACAAGGTTCTGAAACCATTCTTGGGTGGGCCTATAGGCGAGCCAGGACGCTTCGCCACTGCTTGACTCAAGATCGGCACCGAATAAAATATATCCCAATCATCGGGATCTGGTGCCCGACGACGGGGAAAGCGGGTCGGGCGGGTAGCAGTGGGGGGTGACCTGGAGGAGGAGGAGGAGGAGGAGGAGGAGGAGGAGGAGGAGGAGGAGGAGGAGGAGAGGAAGACGAAGAGGAGGAGGAGGAGGGGAGGAAGAGGAGGAAGAGGAGGAGGAGGAGGAGGAGGACGAGGAGGAGGAGGAGGAGGAGGAGGAGGAGGAGGAGAAGGGCCTTGCAAGGGCCCCTTTTGGGTCCCTGCTGGCTCCAAAGGGGCCCTGAAAGAGGCCCGTTTGGGGGTCCTTCCCTTCGCCCACCCCCCCATTAGGTCACCCCCCACTCGCCCTCGCTCGGACGTCCATTCCCCGTGCACCTGGCGGTTTCGCGCGCACTCTTGTTCGCAAGAAAATCAAAGATTTCGGTCGGGCATGTCCTTCTACGGGCAGATTTTGGAAACTTAGAATTGTGAAACATTATCGGAACCGGTCAAAAATAATCCAAACATCGTCCTTCCACTATTTGTTTCAGCTATTTTGTAATATTCCTCCTGTAGAGGGGCGTGCCCGAATGAATCCAAGATGCCAAAAGCCCATCAACCAACTCGTCCGAGCGGACGGGGCGCGTGCCCGCCCCTGGGGTCGCCGCAGAGCCCGCCTGCGCAGGCCCCCCGCGGCCCGCGGCCGGCCCGTTGGCGCGGGGGGGGGGGGGGCCCGGGGGGGAGGAGAGCGCTGTCAAGCGGGCGGGAAAGACGGAGAATCTCACGGGGAGGCAGCGGAGAGGAGGAAGGGAGAGGAGGGAGGGGGAGGAGGAGGAGTTCGAGGAGGAGAGGCACGCGGACGAGGAGAAGAAGGAGGGCGAGGGCGAGGAGGGGAGAGAAGGGGGCCCTCCTCCTCATCTACTCATCTCCTCCTCCCCAGGTCTTGCCCCCTCCGAGGGGCCGAAGGACGAGGCTGGGGGGGAGAGAAGGACGGCAGGCCGACAAGGATGAGGAGATGAGGCCGACAGGACAGGGCTCAGGGGACGGGAAACATCGAAACGAACCTGCCGCGCCAGGATGCACAACGGCGCCATGCAAACATCGGGCCCCATCGGATCGTCGGAAGACCAGATCGAACTGGATCGGTCTGGCCGAGATCGATAAATCGACACTGGGAGGAGGTCCTGTACGGCGGGGGGCATTATTTTCTCACGCCAAGGGCCGAGACCCGTAACCACGCATAGAATTCGAGAGAACACAAGAGAAGCCGCGGCACGGATTACGCACAGCAAATGCAACGCCGCCGAAGGCTCACCTCACAACATGCGCCACAGCCGCTTCCGAGAGGCCAAGGGAGCGGGCGACGTTCAGTATCCAGCGGTCGGCGGAGGGGCCGTGGACGTTGAACAGCACCAGCTGCTGCACAGTCTCCAGGGCGTCAGCAACATCCAACAACTCCACAAGCCTGAGGGAGGCACCGCTGAGGCGCAGAGCCGCTGTGCCCTGTCCGTTGACACGCACCGGGCCGAGAGCTGCCACCTGGCCGCGAAGGGCGAGCCGCACCTTGCACACACTCTCGTCATCGGGTGAAGCCGTCGGGGGTCCAGCAGGAGCCCGCCCGACGACGCTGGCGAGGCCAGCGGCTGGCTCCTGGTCCGCACCGAGGGGGGAGACGGGCACGCCTGCTCCGAAGGCCGCCGACGGCGGGGCCTGCCGCCTGCTTCCCCTGGGCGCGGGAACCAGGGAGCGCGCCAGGCCGCGCCTCGGGATGTCGGCAACCGCCGCCCCCGCCGCTGCCGAAGAGCCCGAGCCGCGCGGCCGAACCGGTGAGGGAGAGATCCTCGGGGGCACCCCAGGCGCCGCAGGCGCCGCCGCCTGGCCGCCCGCCGCCAAGCCAGCAGCGCCAGCCGCCACAGCACATGGTGCTCCGCCATGTGCACCACCTCCTGCGTGCTGGGCGTGGCCAAGTCCGGTTTCAGGAAGAGCAGCCGCAACGGGCGGCGGGACAGTGGAAGCACGAGGGACCGCCGCCGCGCCGAGCGCCTCAGCCAGCGCCGCGCCCACGCGCGTGGGGCGGCACTCCTGGTGCCGGAGGGCGCCGAAGGCGCGGAGCAGCGCCTGGGCCGCTCGCGCCTGCGCGCGCCCGGCCTGGACGCGGCGCTCGGCGGCCGAGCGCCGAGGCCGCGCAAGCGCCCAGGTGGCTAACCAGGGCGGGGCCGACATCCCCGGCCGCGGAGGGGGGCGCCGCGGGGAAGAGGGGGATAGGGCCCGCAGGGAGGCAGCGGCCGCCGCGGGGCCGCCCGGCGCGGACTCGCAGGCCACACGCCCGGCGGCGGCCAGAGCAGGGTTGGCGCTGAGGTGGGGGCACTTTTTTTCGCACTGCGAGCGCGCACAGGGCGCGAGTGCCAGGCATGGATTTCAAGTTCCCCGCAAACGGCGGCGCGCACGGGGCCTGGGACGGGGGCGCCGACCGCGCACCGCTCCGCCCCAGGCCGGGCCCTCCGCCCACCCGCTCGCCCGCTCACGGCGGGTAGCCTGCGCCGCCCGCCCGCGGGCCCCGGCCTCGGCCGCGGCCGCAGAGCTTATAGGGCACCAGGGCCGCGCCCAGCCCAGGCACGCGGAGCCCCGCCGCCGCCTCCTCCTCGCTCGCACCCGCACGCAGGGTGCGCGAGGGGCCGTGGGCGGGCCGCGGGCGGCGGGGCTGCCCCGCGGGGCGCGAGCACCTCGTGGGCGTCGGCAGGCCCATGCCGCCGCCGCGGGGCCCGGCGTGCCAGAAGCGCAGCCTTCCAGCACCAGCGCGGGGTCGGCCTTCAGCGCCTTCGCCCACCCGGCTCGCGTGCTCGGCGACGGTGCGGCCAGCGGGGCGATCGGCTCCTTGGAGTTGCCAAGGAGGAGCAGCACGTACTGCACCTCCGCGCGGGGCGGCGACGCGGCCCTGAGACGGAGACGAGGGGACGAAAGGGCCACCGGCGTGCCGAGGGCCAAGACGACCGAGAGGAGGGACCGACGGGATGACCCCAGGAACGAGCGATCTGTTGCAACGTCGCCGGCGAATCGCGCCCGACGGGAAGCCCGATGTACTTCACGGTCAATCTTGCGCCAGCCTGCAACCAGTGGCCAGCATGCGTTCGGTGACGACCTGGATCACGATGAGGGGGTCATGAAGCCCAAGCCCGATTCCAGCAAGGCAAGACGCTTTGCCGCAGCAGGCCGTGCAGCAAGAACCACTTTAGCAGAGTTAGCAGGGGTGCGCTTTGGCGCGATGACCTTCAGCAGGACTTATGCGGCAGCAGGCTCTTCAGCAAGAGGTTTTTGAGCTGCTGGAGATCCCCTTGCTGAAGAGCACTGCTGCAGTTCAACTTCAGCTGCTGGAGATCCTCAAATCTTCAGCTCCTGAGCATGATGATGATGATGATGATGATGATGATGATGATGATGATGATGATGATGATGATGATGATGATGATGATGATGATGAAGTTCAGGAGTACGCTCAGGACCGTGAGAGGAGGAAAGAGGGAGGATGGGGGAGACTTAGCTGGTCGAGGCAAGCCGAGATGATGGTGAAGACTTGGAGTCCTTGGCTTCGGCGATTGGGACAGCCCAGAGGGGGATGAGGAGGAAGAGCCAGATGCACGGACGGGTGCGCATTGCTCGTGGCCGATGATGGTATCCAGCTTGCGGCCACCAAGGCCCTATGGCTCGACATGCCCAGACGCGACAGCACCCCAGAGCAGATCAGGCCCTGGGCTGATGAGCTTTGAACGGATGGCTGGTAGGCCCCACCCCATGAGCTACGACATCGCAACGGCTCCACAAAATCTGTGCCCTCGCCCACTCCTCCTCCTCCTCCTCCTCCTCCTCCTCCTCATCATCATCATCCTCCACCTCTTCCTCCTCCTCCCTCCCTCCCTCCCTCCCCCCTCCCTCCCTTCCTCCCTCCCTCCCTCCCTTCCCCGCATCGTCATCATCATCATCATCATCAGTATTACCATCATCATCATCATCATCATCATCATCATCATCATCAGCAGCAGCAGCAGCAGCAGCATCAGCATCAGCATCATCATCATCATCAGCAGCAGCCGCATCATCATCATACTCAGCATCATCACCATCACCATCATCATCATCATCATCATCATCATCATCATCATCATCAGCATCATCAGCATCATCATCATCATCGTCACCATCATCATAATCATCATGATCATCATCATCAGCATGATCATCAGAATTACCATCGTCATCAGCATCATCATCATCATCATCATCGTCAGCATCATCACAATCATCATCAGCAGCAGCAGCATCAGCATCATCACCAACAGCAACACCAACAACAGCGGCAGCAGCACCACCAGCGAACATACGCATTATTAACAACAACAACCACAACACCAACAACAACACCATCAACAACAGCAGCCATCATCGTCATCACCACCACCGGCATCTGCATCACCTTCATCATCAACAGCATACTCATCATCAGCAGCATCATCATCATCATCAGCATCATCAGCATCAGCATCATCATAAACATCATCATCCTCGTATGCATCATCATCCTTATCAGCACCATCATCATCCACAGCAGAATCATCATCCTCATATGCAATATCATCCTCAGCATCAGCATCACCATCATCACCATCGTCATCAGCGTCCACACCAGCAGCATCGTCAACATCATCATCGTCATAACCGTCAACATCGTCATCATCAACAGCATCATCAGCCTCATCATCAGCATCATCATTATCAGCAGCCTCATCATCATCATCACCATCATCATTCTCAACATCATAACCATCATCATCATCATCATCCTTGTCATCATCATCAGCATCATCATCATAATCATCATCGTCATCATTGTCACCATCAGCTTCGTCATAATCATAAGTACAATCGTCAGCATCACCATCATCAACAGCATCATCAGCATCATCAACATCACCATCAGCTTCATCTTCATCTTTAGCTTCATCTTCCTCTTCATCCTCATCATCTTCATTCACCTCCTGATCCTCCTCTTCCTCCTCATCAGCAGCATCATCAGCATCATCGTCATCATTATTGTCATCAGCATCATCATCAGCATCATCAGTACCAACATCATCATTATCATCAGCAGCAGCAGCATCAGCATCCCCATTATCAGCAGCTTCATCATCAGCAGCATCAGCATCGTCATCATGATCGTCAGCAGCATCATCATCATGATCCACCTCATCCAGTCAATCTCTATCTCTCTCTCTCTTTCTGTCCCTATCTCTCCTGTTGGACTGGGATGAGCAAGATCGAACGGTGCTTGCACTACTGGCACAGGCTGGGGAGCGCGCCGTGCTCATCACTGCTGCACGAACTTTCCTCCTCCTCCTCCTCCTGCTACTACTCCTCCTGCTACTCCTCCTCCTCCTACTCCTCCTCGCCCCCTCCGTCTCCATGTACTCCTCCTCTACCTTCTCGTCCTTCTCCGCGTCCTGCCTTTCTCCGTTCTTCTCCCCTCGTCCTTCATCATTCTCCTTCCTCCTCATTATCATTCCTCCGCATCCTCCTCCATCTGCTCTTTTTCCGCCGCTCCATCTGTCGACACGGCTCTGTAGAACCAATTCTTGGCACCATTTCTGCAGAATGGGTGGAACCAGTTCTGTGCGCCCGGTCTTCGTTGACCCGGTCTCTGCTGAACTGCTTTGCTGTTAAACTTTTCTCTGCTGACCGAATTCCCTGTTGAACTGGTCTCTGTTGAAGTGGGTGTCTGTTGAACTGTTGCACGAATCTTCTGCCGCATGCAATGCCAACTCTTTCGCGAACTCTCACCCTCCATGGAACCAGCGAAGCCCCACCCACACAGATGTGCTGATCAGCTGCCGGCGCGCGTACATAAGGACACTCCGCCCTACTTGGGTTTCAATCCCCAACCTCCAACTGGATAGAGAGCTCCTCCTGTCCTGGCATGGCGCACATACCATGGGCAGCTCAGACAGCTGCTCCGGGCCCTGAGATGGCCGAGCGCAGAGCGGCAAGGGCCTGCCCCCCCTGGACCACGTCTCCCTCTCCAGGGGAGGAGGAAAATACTGAAGGGGCCCCAGGACACACAAAAAAATACACACAAATAAAAATATGCCCCATATGGTCCCATATTTTTTCTGTTTTTGTCTTCCCCCACTTCCCATTTTTCTGCACATTTTCCTGGGAGTCGACGATGTATTGTGTCTGTGTGTTTCTTTCCCTCCTGAAATACACACGCACAAACGATCAGAGCTCCGCGCGGAGTTCGTGGTTCGGCGCTGGGCCCCACTCGCTGGCACGGGGCGCGCGCGCCAGGGACGGCGCCGGAGGCGCCGCCAGGGGGACCTAGCCCCAGAAATCCGCGCGGCGCTAGGAAAGTTGTGTTTCTATTCTCATGTTGCGCCGATGTCCCAACACGCGCCCACTGTGCTCCTGGTGACCGCCCTGGCCACTGCAACATCGGCCACCCTTGGCGCCCGGATGGCGCGAACCTCCACGAGGCACCTCCTCTTCCTCCTCCTCCTCCTCCTCCTCCTCCTCCTTTTCCTTTTCCTTTTCCTCCTCCTCCTCTAGAGACAGGCCTCCTAAATGGGGTACGAGTAGATGGTATCGGAGGATCTCGCCGCATCGGCGATGCACTGGCGACGTCAGCGATGCATCGTTGCCATCGGCGTCAAGCGGGCCCCACATCGAGCCGCATCGCCGATGCATCGGCGGTGCGGCGCGATCCTCCGACCCCCTCTGTTCCGACCACACTTGGGAGGCCTAGATCGAAGCATCTCGTCCACTGATGGGAGCGTCAACTGAGCACCTCACCGATCCTGGCTGGGCCGCTCTCTGGCCCCCGATCGGCGTCTGCGCGTCCCTGGCCAGGCGAGGAGGGCCCAATGACACAGCGATCCTGGGCCCAGGAGGGGCCCGGCCGGGATCGATGCGGCGGGCCGCGGACGTTGCCCGACCGAGAACTGGCCCCCGCCTGACTGACGCAGCGCTACGAAACGCACCCTATCGAGCACTGGGGGAGGGAAACAAACAAAAAAAACGACTCGCATCACAGCTAATTGGACTCGCTGTTCCCACTTCCCCCTCCGCGCGCCACCTCGTACCCCCAACTCGGGGGAGCGTCAGTTGTGTGATATGGATGCGCGCGCGGCGCGGATCTTTGGGCGAAAGCGAGCGCGGCTCGAGCGATCTGCGTAGCACTAAGGCCAATGGCCCTGAGAAATAAAAATGGCCGCGGCGAGCAAGGAATGAAACCACAGGTCCCACGAAGTTTCTGGGGAAGCCCTCTCGGGCCTCTTACATTCCTGGGGAGTGAGCTTGATTCACACTCCTCCTAGGGCATGCTCGGATCGCCGTCTCGGGCGTCAGAGCGGGGACAAAAACAAGTCACTCGCCGGCAAAACAGGGAGATGATCATCGAAAGGATCAAGAGCAAGCAAACGGCTTGCACGGCATACAAGGTATACTCAGCAATGGCAAGGGTTCGATCGCGAAGCGACGAAACCCAAAATATATAGCCATCTTCTCAATCTACTAAACGGGAGCGGTCGTCATCACATAAAGAAAAACTGTGCGCACTGAAACGGATGCTTCTCGAGAAAAAAACGCGGGGTTACGTGTGGATCTTTATCCGGGTGTATAAAGAGGCGATCTGGAATACGTAAATCTTGATCGGGCGTATAGTATTGGCGACGACGCGGAATACATACATCTTGACCGGGCGTATAGTATGGGCGGTCGAACATCTCCGGTCCGATCGGCCAAACTGCCGTCAAACCACGCGGGGGTCACTTTTTCTTCGGCTTTGCCTGCTTGTCCGCTAAATCGGACCCCAGCCAAACATCTCTGCCTGTGAGCTTCCACCATCGGCCCTTGAGGTCATTCATCGCACTCTCCGGGAAGATCGTGAAATCGGGATGTCCGAAATGATAATGCCGAAGCAGCCACGAAGCGTGCTTATTGCAGGTCTTGCAAGTGATGTATACACTATGCGGGTTGTGGCCGATGACCACATCATGATGAGGAATGCCAATCACGCAACTGAGCACGTCGTTCGGCTGCACCGTCGGGGAGGATCCGCTCCACGACACAATACTGGCTGATGAGGCTGAAACGGAACTCGATGAACTCGTCACGGAAACCACGGTTGGTGATGCAGGGGCCGAACTTCCCTGCGACTTTGCTGATCTTGATCGTCCAGATCCCCGTGCTGAGGCTGCAGGGTACGGTGATGGCGGCGCGCTGGCTGGTGGTGGTTCTGTCGGTACCTGT